AAGTAGAATCTTTGCTCACAGGGCTCCACAGCTTGGAGGGAGCACTGAAACACCAAAATGGGCAAGTAGTCTTGCAGAGTCGCACAGGACACCTCCAAGTAAATATAGGTGGGTTGTTTTAAAGGGGCATCCATCCACACTAAATCTTTGGAAGCACATTGCAATAAAGCCCCTACAACTGTATACAGAAATACTGAGCTTCCCTACCATTTGTCACAACTAGCCCACCACACAACCAGGATCAAGACTCCTAAGTGGACCAACAGACAGGCATACACTCGTTTGAGAAACTGAGTATTACATTACAACACCTCTGGAACATTACAGATCAGTAGAGGCAGCACTGCACAGTGGTCAGAGTTGCAGATTGATGTGTGGAGACCCAGGTTTGTATTCTCACTCTGCTGGCTGAGTGACCCCGGGCCAAATCTCCCCTTCTCTACCTAACCTACCCCACAGGGTTGTTGTGAGGATGAAATGGAGACACATGGATCGGGTCCCCAGCTTCCCTGGGAGAAACACTATGTTAAGAAATCTCTCACAATTATGCAGCCATAGCAGGCAGGAGGGAAGGAGGTGAATACCTCCAGTGCCAGAGACTTGTAGAGGAAGAGTCAAACTTGGGGGACTCACCCATGCGCCAGAGGGCCAAGGCAGCAGGAGGCAAGAAGCCTGGGCGAGCTGGGCTCCTCCATGCCTGGCAGAAGATGAGTTGCAGAGGCAAGAGGTGGGCAAGCAGAAGAGGCACTCAGCCAGCTGCACAAGCTGCGTGCAAAGAAACTCCCGCCGTCCCAAGCTTCAGGGCTGCCTCGTTAAAGGAGTGCGGAGGCCAGACTCGCAAATGAGAAGAAGGAAGCCCAGGGTTCGTGGGTCGCATTTTGGGCTGTGGAAGAGGAACTGGCTCCATTCCTGGAGTTCTCTCGAGTTCCTGCGCTTTTGGTTTTGCTTTTTGCCAATCCGCCTCCCAAGACTGCTCCAGGTGCTCCGGCCTGAGGGCTGCTGGGGCTTCCCGCAGTTCGGCCCCATTATATCCTATGGGCCATTGAAGTCAATGGCGAAAACATAGGGTGTATTCTGGGGGCTGGAGGGGAGGGGGTTTAAGGGAGAGGCTCCAGAATCGCACGGTAGCTGCTGGAGCCTCTCCCCAAGATACCCACCATATTTCAGGAACATTGAACCAGGGGGTCCAATTCTACGGGCCCCCAAACAGGTTGCCCCATCCCCTCCATTGTTCTCTATGGTGGGAAAAGGCCGTCAGCGCCTACAATGGAGGGAATAGGCCGTCAGCGCCTACAGCGGAAGAAC